AAAAGAACAAAAACCTGGGGGCAAAAGCAAGGACCCTCCCCTTGGGAGCTGACTTTCCATTGGCTAGTGAGGAAGAAGACTCCAAAATCATCCCCCTAGTCAGGTGCAGTGGAACACAACTGTAATCCTCAGAATTCAGGATACTGAGGCAGGAAGATCACAGGTCCAAATCTAGCCAGCAAATTGTGGACCAGACTGTGCTACACAGTAAGACCATCTTATAAAACAATACCAATCTCCCCCCAAAACTTCAACATACAAAATGAATAAAAATGGGGGATCAGATTAAAAATGTCCTCTGATTCAAATATATAAAATTGAAGTAGTCTTTATGGCAGTCAGATATGTAAGTATAATGTTAAAACGGCAATAATGGTTATTTTTAGTTCTTTAAAATTTTGACTTCTGCAATTAAAACAATGGTACTTGAGAAGACAACCCAGGATGCATTTGTCTACAGCAGAGATTCACACACTTCATGAATAGCCCTACCTAGCCAGTCAGTGGCCTACTCGTTTACCCAGTTGCCCTGCTGCCAGTTTCCTGGAGGAGGCAGGTATGCAGGACCCCACCTTGTCTCTTCTCCTAGTGCAGATGGAGAGTTTGCGGTGACCCACATGACCAAGGCCCATGTATTCTTCACGGGCACTGTGCACTGGGTGCCCCCCGCCATCTACAAGAGCTCCTGCAGCATCGACGTGACCTTCTTCCCCTTTGACCAGCAGAACTGCAAGATGAAGTTTGGCTCCTGGACATACGACAAAGCCAAGATTGACCTGGAGCAGATGGAGCAGATGGTGGATCTGAAGGACTACTGGGAAAGTGGCGAGTGGGCCATTATCAACGCCACTGGAACCTATAACAGTAAGAAGTACGACTGCTGCGCGGAGATCTACCCCGATGTCACCTACTACTTTGTTATCCGCCGGCTGCCGCTGTTTTACACCATCAACCTCATCATCCCGTGCCTGCTCATCTCCTGCCTCACGGTGCTTGTCTTCTACCTGCCCTCTGAGTGCGGAGAGAAGATCACGCTATGCATCTCGGTGCTGCTCTCACTCACCGTCTTCCTGCTGCTCATCACAGAAATCATCCCGTCCACCTCACTGGTCATCCCGCTCATTGGCGAGTACCTGCTCTTCACCATGATCTTCGTCACCCTCTCCATTGTCATCACAGTCTTCGTGCTCAATGTACACCACCGCACACCCAGCACCCACAACATGCCCAAGTGGGTACGGGTGGCCCTACTAGGCCGTGTGCCCCGGTGGCTGATGATGAACCGGCCCCTGCCACCTATGGAGCTCCATGGCTCTGCCGGTCTGAAGCTCAGTCCTACTTATCACTGGCTGGAGACCGCCACGGATGCTGAAGAAAGGGAGGAGACCGAGGAAGAGGAGGAGGATGAAAATATATGTATGTGTGCAGGCCTCACAGACTCCTCCATGGGTATCCTCTATGGCCACAGCAGCCTGCATCTGAGGACCCTGGGGCCTGAAGCCAAGAGTCCGTCACAGGAGAGTGAGATCATGCTGTCACCTCAGATACAGAAAGCTCTAGAAGGTGTACACTACATTGCTGACCATCTGAGGTCCGAGGATGCCGACACTTCGGTGAGTTGGGCTGAGGGAGGGTCTAACCTGTGGGCGATTCTTCCGGCTTAGTAGGGAAGAATCCCACCCCAGGGTGTCAGCTTGGATAACTCCTTCCCTTCCAGTAAGGACTGGTCTCCTTGAGTTGTGTCTGAGGAGTCTGGACTCAATCACAAAAGATGCACTCCACCTGGAAGTTATTTGGTCACTTCCTGGCAGAATGCCACAAGACCCATCGCCCTCACTCAACCTAACTGGGAGAGAGTGATTAGAGACTGCAGAGCTCAGATGTTGGTCTCCCTCTGCTTTGGCTCTTGCTGGTCAGCCTTTCTCAGGAGGAGGTGGGGGCAGAGCAGGGAGCTAGAGGTCACTCTCTGCAGAGATAGAAACCAAGTACAAACGTGTCAACCCAATGCATCACTGGCCTCCACACTCCTCTGTGGTAGAAGGTCTCCTCCATCTGGGCTCTGAGCATTTTATGACCGTTCCCTATTCACTCATAAGCCCTGTAGATTCTCAGCTGCACCAGGGTGGGCTCCCCTCTCCAGTGCTGCTATAGTACTTAGTGTTCAGAACCTGCTCATCCCCTCACCAACCAAGCGAGGGGTGAAAGGCCTGAGCTTACTATGGGGGCACCTTACTGAGTAGATGATACCATTAATCATCCATTTGTCAATGTCTAAAAATTCAGATCCTCTAGCCTGGCCTGTGAGTGGAAGAGCCCTAGAGCCCCAGTTCTTCCACACTGACCTTCCCTGGGCCACAAACTGCCTGTCTGTTCCCTGCAGGTGGGTGGAGAGGTAGCATGGTATTTGGCAGCTACACAACTACTGTGAGTTACATTTAAATTCTTCTGATTTGGAGGGTCCATACCCTCTTGGTGGCCTTAGCACCTCCTCGTGTCCCTCTGGACTCCTACACCTGGCAGCACATGGATATAGGGAAAGCTAGAATGGGACTCCCAGGGATGTGCCAGCCCTGAGTAAGCCTGTTTCACCCTCCACCCATCTCTGTGCCTAGGATAACCTCGGTTTCCCAAGCCTTCAGTAGGCTGGTGACTGCTGCCTCCATGGGGCTGGACATGGGAGGGACACTTCCCCTCCCCACAGCCTGGCTTTTGGTACTGTAAACCCAACTGTGATTTCAGGTGAAGGAAGACTGGAAGTATGTGGCCATGGTGGTAGACCGGATATTCCTCTGGCTGTTCATTATCGTCTGCTTCCTGGGGACCATCGGGCTCTTCCTCCCTCCATTTTTGGCTGGAATGATCTGATTTCATGTCCCCCGTGTTGGCTTCAAGGTGGCCTTGACAACTATCTTCTGGTCTTCTCTAACTGGAGCCATCTCTAGAATATTCTTTTGGGTCAATACCATCTGCCTGAAGTGTTTCTCTGAGGCCCCCAAACTAGTCTGGGCTTCAAATCCTCTTTGGGACAGCTTGCAGTGACATTGTTGTGGCATGTCTGAGACCACTCAACGTGATACTTGTTTAAGGATGCTGAGGAACTAGAAAAGGTGAAGCCATTTGCTCTGCAGAAGGTGACAATACGGCAGTGACACAAGGGAGAACAAGATATTCCTAAAAGAGCAATAGGAACCATATGTGACCAAAGGATCAAACAAAGGGATGAGGAGCCAGACCAGGGCAAAGAGAAATAGACACTCCCCCCCCCAAAGATGGGCACATGGGGACACAGGGAGTGCCTGGTGCAGGAGAGCTCTGAACAGCGACTTTGGATTCAGAGTGTCAGAGAGGACAACGGGGGTGGGGTGGCTGGGGAGGCAGGTTGGGGTACCTTTTAATCCAGACCTAGGAAGAAGTTCATCTTCTCTGAACCTGTCTCCATGTGCTTTGCGAGGCGATATCAGCAGGACAAGACTATTTCCAGGAGTGAGCTAGAAACTTCTCAACCCGAGGGTCTCTACCCCTTTCACATATGAGATACCCTGCATATCAGGTATTTGTATAATGATTGCTAACAGTAGCAAAATTACAGTTATGAAGAAACAATGAAGCAATTTTATGGTTGGGAGTCACCACGACATAAGGAGCTATACTAAAGGGTTGCAGCATTAGAAAGGTTGAGAGCCACTGGTATAGATGTCCTGGCGGGTGCTTGGGGCTGAGGAATGTCATGTAGTTGAGTGGAAGCGGCTGGGCCATTATTCATCTGAAAGCACCTTTGAGTCCCCAGGGTGCCCTCAGCATTGTGTCTCACTGTTCTGCGCTGCAAAGAGGTCCAGTAATCGCTGTCAGGGATCAGAGCCACCTTCAAATCATCATTGGGCACACTAAGAAGGCATCTCCACTGGTGGTACCCCTCTTGCCACCCATAGGCCCTGGTCCCCGATTCCTCACTCTGTGGGCATGCCTTGCATAGGAACTAGAACTTTTACTTCAAGCTCTTTAGATTGCATTTACTCCTTCAGGGTAGAGTCTCTGCTTTTGCTTTCTCTCTAGCCTGGCCCCATACTGGGTAACAGAACTCAACACCTGGACCATTCATTCTGAGTAGTGGAAAGAAATGAACCCAGTTGCTTTGCACCCCAGGACCGCTGCATAACATCCAGTCCTCAGGGAGGTTTCTTCTCCAACCTTCCCACAGTCCCATCACGAAGCTAGCCTGTCTGTCCTGTGCAGTGTGTTCTTGCTCTTGTAATATTACAAGACCCTCCACTGCATAGGAGCCCAGGGGATCAGGCCTCTCAGAACACTGTGCAGCCACTGAGGAGCCTGGCCTCAGAAGCTAACAGCAATGACATTCCGGATTGCTAACAGAAATGGAGACCTAGGCAGGAAGCAGAGCAGGGCAAGCTTCTGGTGTCTCTGTCTTAGGGTGCTCTCCTCTGCCCCCCTCCCCCCCAGCACCTTGACAGACTTAAGGGAAACGTGCTTACTAAAGGCCTCATCCAGATGCCCTGCTATCAGTTCCTATGCGTCTCCACTCAGTCACCAATTCAGGTCTTGGCTCCTTCTTCCTCCGGTGAATTCAACCTACAGCCTTCCCCATCCCGCCCCTTCTGTTCCAAGCCCTCAGACATGATTTCCTGATAGGGAGATGAATGTTGCATGTTTGCCCACATCTCCCAATTGCCTTGCATGTGAGTGACATGGTGAAATAAAGCTGAGATGGCTGATCTCAAAAGTGTCGTGCCTTCCTGCCAGCCACCTCAGCTGTCACTGGCATCATTTAGTCCCCTCCAGTGCACAGATGGTTTGGGGTCAGGGGGGGAATGTCCCACAGAGGGAACCATACCATGTCTTCCTGGAGAGCTACCTTTTGGATAAGGTGCCACTACTGACTACATGGGACAAAGGACAGGAGGCCACCACACATTTCTCATGGGCTGTGGTCCCAGGTCAACTTCTCTCCACAAAGAGAAGATCAAATAAATGATGCAGTCAAGTTAACCACAAAGCAAATGGTGATGATTTTAATTCAACCACAGATCAAAAAGGAGGGAGGTAAATGAATGTTCTCCACAAACATATGAGGAAGAAAAGGAGCAGCTGTGAAAAGGGAGAAGAGAAAAAGAGAAGAAAAGAGGGGAGAAGAAAAGAGGGAGAGGAGAAAAGCAGGAAGGGCACAAAGTCCCGTTCTGACCTCCAACTCTATGCTTCTTCCCTGAGGCGCTGGGTTTGATAAAAACACAGAGCCTTGCGGCCAGATTGGTTTGTTCCTGGACTGTGGCCCATGGCTCTCCGTCCAGGCCAAACTCACATTAAATAAATTCCAATATACACTGTACAAGAGAGCCAGGCCCAGCCCTCATCTCACCAGCCTCTCTACAAATAATGCCCCTCTTTGTCCCCTCTGCATCAGGGGTCCCGTGAGGGATAAAGAGGAAGAGGAATACTGGCTTTCAAATGTCCATGCAGAAAGCCATCTTGGCTGGTAGGGGTACAACTGTGACCCCAATGACACTCCAGTACCCAGGCTGGAGTAGGAGGGAGTGGCCGGCAGCAGTACCCCTATGAACTATGTCACCCCACCCTGTGTCTGTGCCCAGGGGCTTCTGTGTCCAGATGCAGCCTGCGTAGCACGAGTCTGGGGTCGGGTGGGGAAGGGGAAGTCGTGCAAAGTGGTGAGGGGAGGACTCTTCTCAGCCTTCCCAAGAAGACCAATAACCAAAGGCAAGGCAGGAAAGGTACGCCATGACAGGTTGGGGCAGAAGATGCAGGCAGGTAGCCCCCTCTCTCGATCACTCTGCAGGTGGGTGGGCCAGATTGGCCAGAACCTTGGCTTGGTCCACAGCATCCAGCAGGTTCTTGGCATCCACAGCCAGGGTGTGGGAGGCTGTGAGCATCTGCCGCTTGCAGTCCTCACTCAGGGATGTCACAGCATTCTGCTGAGCCAACCTCATCTTGTTGATGAGCTCTGCCAGGTCCTTGTTGAGCAGTTTCTGGGTCCCTTCAATCTGGTGGGTAAGCACACAGGAGAGTTTGAATGAGTGAGGGGTCAGAATGGGTGCTGGCTAAGACATCAGAAGTTCCCTGGGGGGCAGTTACCCCTAAGCCTGGGCTGAATCTATCCTCTGCATAGGCTGGAGTTGGTCTACAAAGATGAAGGCAGCAGATATCCCAGACCCTAGCCAACCATATGCCAGCCATGCTCAACTGAACCCTTTAGTGCCCTCCTTCACAGGGGCAATCCTGAACACGGGTGAGAGGTCAAACGCATTCATCCACTTCAATGGACAATCTTGATTGTCAAATTGATAGCATTTAGAGTGACCATGGAAACAAACCCCTGGCTGCATCTCTGAGGCAGTTTCTGATAGGAGTAATTGAGGTAGACAGACCCACAATAATATGGTGGCATCATTCCACGGGCTGAGAGCTTGGGAGGAATAAATAGGAGAAAGTGCTCTGAGCACCAGCCATTACCATTTTCATCTTCCTGACTGTAGCTGCGATGTGGGCAATCACCTCACACTGCTTCCACCATGCCTTCCCTACCACAATGAGCCAGACAAACATCTTCCTGGAGTATTTTGCCACAGCCACGATAAAAGTAACTAGCACACCTATGCTTTAACTGTCTGTTGTCAAGTAAGAAGACAAGATCCCATATTTATTTGTTTGACTATTGTATCGCTCGCTGGTGCTTAGCCTGATGGATATACAGCACTAAAGCTATCTCTTTAGTGAAGTGAATGAGTTAATAAATTGATCATGCCAAACCCTCCCAGACCTGCACTGGTAAATTCACCCAGTGAACTGTCCAGGTTCTCAGGAGTCATCTTGGCCCTCGGGTGGCACCTGCCCTGCTGGGACTCCTTAGTAGGTCATTGTTGTCACCAAGAGGATAATAGCCAGCCCTGCCCTTGTTCTGCTTTGCCTTGGGCAACCACAAGCAGTAGAGATCAACTGATAGGATGTGCCACACAGAGGACCACTAGGAGTCAAGGCATCAACGTGCTGCATTTTTTTCTAGACGAGAAACGGATACGTTTCCCATGGCTACAGGAACATAGCAATGTAAACTTTGCACGTTCATTATTGAACAGTCCTGGAAGTCAGAATTCTAAAATTAGTCCCATGGGGTGGGTGGGTGAGTGGGGTGCTAAGGTCATCAACAGAGTTACGTTTCTGTTAGAGTCCAGGGGGAGAGTTCCTTGTTTTCTTGCAGCTTCGAGGTTACACCTTCCTTAGCTGTGGCCCCTTCCAACCCAGGTATCCTTCCAGCTTTAGCTGCTGTCCTCACATTCCCTTGTCTCTGATTCTGAGCCCCTGCCCCCTGGATACTCCATCATATCCTCTCCTTCTGGGGACCCTTAATTTTTATCAGCTCAATAAAGTTCCTTTTGCCATGTAAGATACTCTGCGTGTAGGTCACCACTCTTGGGACATCCCTCCGACTGCCACAGGCATTATTCCGTCAGAGAGAACCAGGACTCGTCCTTGACTTCAGCAGTAGTTTGCTATCTATGGCATACCTACCTTAACCTAAGTACAGAGGGTTACTAGGTAAGGGATGGTGGGAGAGCAGGGAGAGAGGTGCACTCCTCCTTACATGTAGCCACTGAGACTATTTGAGAGCTGGCCTGGGATTTTCACTAGGTCCTAGAGCAGGCTCAGCCCTCTGGTGCTAACTGCTCTGATGCTCTGCAGAGACATCTGTTGGAAGAAATAAGGCTGCCCAGGTGGCCCCAGTGATCCAGGGACAGGAGAAGGCACAGGAGGCATGGCTGGGAATGAGGACACTCACCTCCGTTCTGGAAGACGACGGCAAGGAGGGCAAGAGATCATCCACACTACCAATGAGCTTCCGCAGGTTCAGTCCCACGTTCTAAGAGAGCAAGAGCAGAGCAGCTGCCACACTTGCTTTTGGAAAAAGATGTCCCTACTGGGACTGCACTCAGGGATGGCATCTGCTCTCTGAGACAGCCTGGGATTGGGCTCCCTTGGGGCACAGTAGTTTTCCTCCCAGGGTCAGGCTGGGCAGCCCCTATCTCCCTGACCCACCCACACCCTGTAAGTCACCTTGACCACCACCACATAGTCCTCAGGGGGCAACTGGCTGAGTCTGTTCTTGAGTTCCAGCACGGCTTCCACCAGTGTCATGACATTGTGGTACACGGGGTCATCAGTCCTGTCCAGGTTGGCTGTGGGCTGAATGGACTGAAAGGGAGGCGTGGATGGCCAGTGGCTCACGGGGAGCCAGAAGGACCCCTCATCACTCTTATTCATTCCTGGGAATGCATAGCTATCAACCAGTGTAAAGACCCCTGCTTTGCAACAGCAACACTGTCCCAGGGGTAGAGCCCCTCTTTCTGCCTCTGTGGTCATCATTCTGCAGTTGGGGGACCCAAACAAAATGTTGGTGTGTTAACAAAACACACAGTCTAAGCATCATCAGACCTTTGGGTCCGCACTATCTTAACATGTCTCAGGTCATTTTTGTGGGAAGCTGACACTGAGAATACACATTCTGGAACCAAGAAAACTAGTAGACAGTTGCTGGAATCTGGGGGAGGGCTCAGGAAGAGGAGAGGCTCTAATATTCCTGATACCAGGCTGAACCAATAAGACCTTTTCCCTGGTCAGGGAAGAGACCAGAAGCTAAAACAAAAACAAACAAACAAACAAACAAAAAACCAAAAATACCCAAAAAAACAAAAAACTGGTTCCTTTCACATTTTGTCATGAATCAGCTATAAGGCCTTAGGCAATTTGCATCTACTCTCTGGGTATTCTCTGCAACAATGGAACTGAACTGGATTATCTCCAAAGGCCTCTGAGCATTCCAGGGCTATGGTTTTTGGTAGTTGTAACCCCAATACGTACCTGTGCACCAAGCCGCGGTGGCTTCTGTGGGGGCCCTGTGAACTCCGCTACAACAGAAAGGACAGGGAGTAGGTGAGGGTCTCAGTACCTGGTCTTTCTTTTTCTACTTTCCTATAATCAAGCCAACTCCCCTTCTCTAGCTAGCATCAGGAGATCTCAAGAGTGTAAAACCCAAATTCCAGGCTTCCTGACTTTCTAGTAGCCAGGGACAAGATCTGTCCATGGCATAGAGAGAAAAATTCAAGGCAGGAGTGTGTGAGTACAGCAAGTGTGGGATCCTTGGTGTGCTTCCTCTGAAATGGGCAAGTTCCCGAGGAGCAGCAATGCTGGCTTTGAGCATCCATGCGCAAGAAACCCACAGTCTGCAGGTGGCAGTGTCTGGAGTCCATCCTGGTGCAGTGGCAGCTCTGGGGTGGGGATAGATTTTAAGACTGCATGATGGTTTGTCATGCTATTGACTACTCAGATGAGCAACAGCACATACAGCCAGAGGAGCTGTTGTGATAGTAGCAAAGATGCAAGCCAGTAAGCTTGCCTCTGATCTAACCACCACACAGCAGTTCATTCATCCAAGGAGTCATTTACACCCCCAGTCTTAATTTTCATTTGGAGAATGAGATTGTCACTCAGAAAGGACCTTAGAACCCAGAACGTCTGGTCTCAAATCTGAGCTGCGTTAATTAGTAAGTCATCATGTGGTATTAAACAAGTTGCTTCATTGTCTTGGGCCTCTGATTCATCTGTGGAATGGAGATAGATTGCACCAGCTCTTTAGTGTTGACATAATACAAAGTGAGTCAACATTTATGAGTGACTTAGGGCTGTGCCTGGCTGTGCGAAGTTCTTTGTGACTATTGTCAACATCATCACCATCGTCATTAGCATCATCAGCTGCAGCAGCTCCACTCTTTACCCCTTCTTGTCTTCAGTAGAAGCTTCTGGAGAGATCTGGGTGGCTTTGAATCTTCCATCCCTCTGGCCTGGAGAAGACCAGTAGGAACTGGGAAGATAGGTCTAGACCTAACGAAGGATTGGTTCCCCATAGGGTGAGTGGAAAACAGAAACAGGGAGAGTGGTCCAGACTTATTTAAGAAATGAAGATGGGAACAAAAGGAAAGGGGGGCCCAAAGAAGTCACCAACTCTGGAAGAGTAGAAAGGGCTGAGGTAGATGGACAGTGGGGCTGTACCCAGTGCTAAAGGAGAGGCTCCTTCCAAATTCCAAATGAGTCTATCTCATTCAGGATAAAACAAGGCAAATGGTAGCCTTTCCTTCATAAACTAAAGACAACCCTCTGCTCCTTGCAGGACGGTGAGCAAGGACACAACCATACCCCCAACACACCCCAGATGGAAACTCCCCCAAGGAAGCACTCACTGTAGCCAGCCTCCTTCTCTGGGGTCTGTAAAGAAAGAAAGAGAGAAGGGAGTCACTTCTGTGTCTCCAGGTAACATCCTATTTCCCTCATTGCTCATCCATCTTCCAGTTTAGACATTACAGCCATGAGTGAGGGGATCTGAAAGTTATTGACGGCAAGTGACCTTTCTAGAGGCCCATGAAAACACTAACAATGTGAGTCCCATGGGCTTTTAGATGAAGAAAGGCATGGGGTCAACCTAAGGGTCAGAGATAGGCAGACCCAGGGGGCTGGTGGAGGGATCCTAAGTAGATAAGCTTTGCAGGCTGTGACTCTGAGAGGCTTTTCCTGGTAACTTACCAGTGGGGACTTGTCATTCATATAAACCATAGGGTCCTGCAGAGAAGACCAAAGCAAAGGACTTAGGTTCCAGAGTAGAAAGTATGGAGAACACATAGAAGACATCCACCCCATTGGGCAGGGAAAGAGGGGAGTCACTCACCAAGCATCTCTCTTCCCGCCTCAGCCACTGGGAATCTTCCACCATCTGCTTCTGCTGTCTGTCTAGGACCTGCCGCATCTTGATCTTCTCTGCTTCCCAGAGCTGCTGGGCCTCTTCTCGGCTACTGGGCCGGATAAAGTCCTCCTCCTGTGTAGACGACAGCTTCAGTGAGCCCTGTCCTTAGGCCTGGACCAGGGAGGATCTGCTGAAGAGCCCCAGGGGAGCCAAACCTTGGCATTGCCTGCTGCTCTTGTCTTGTCTACTCCTTAACCCATAGCCACAACTGCAGACAGTTTTGCTCTGGACTCAGCCTCATCCACATGCCTGACTGCAACAGGATGCCGAGTCCCAGACCAATGGGTTCCAACTGTCACATGATCTGCCAATGACATTTTGTTTTCAACCATCCACCGTTTTTTTTCTTGGCTGGCATTTGTGATGGCTACTGACATTTAATAGATTCAGAAATACAAAGCCAGCTCCAAACTGTTGGAACGGGTTTCCATCTAAGTACTATGGTGGCAGGTCTGGAAGCTTCTACAGACGGTGGGGCTACCTCAAGCTCCAGGTGTAGAGGACTGTTTGTGCCAATCAACCATGCACTCTTGGTTAAGGCGACAGCTTGAAGGATATAACCAAAGGTTAAAAGAAGTGAAAGAGCTAAGAGATAAGATGAATAATGAAACTTCTAGAGGCCTGACTCTACAGACACAGCGACTGCTTCTTCTTCCTCACTAGTCCTAACCCTGCTCTTCACTCACCTGTGGGGATTTGGACCTACTCTTATTTCATCACCCTAGGTGGGGATTGATGGCCTCCTATTTTCCCTCAATCTTTCCAGGGTGCATTTACATAATTATTATCTCAGTCCGTCCGAACTGTTTTGCACTCACTGCTGTTCTCCTGGGTCTACTAGAGGAAAAAGGTTGCAAAACCCTTTACCAGTGTCAGGGACCTTTTGTGACATGAGCACCAGAGGTTCCAGCTTGAATGTGGCCCCCTAAGTTTCGAGTGTTGGGAACTTGATTTCCAGTGCAGCGATGTTGAGAGGTGGGGGTGATTTCATGGAGGTACTGACTTCATGAACAAGTTAATGCCTTTAATACATGTATGGGCAAGTTCCCACGGGAGGAGCTCCTGGTAGAAGGGTGAGTTTGCCTCTCTGCTCCCACTCTGGGCTCTCTCACCACAAGACATCTTCTGCATTATTAGAAAACAGCAGGACGGCCCTCATTAGAGGTGGCCCTTGATCCTGGAGTTCCCAGTCCCCCAAACTGGAGGTAATGAACTTGTGTACTATATAAATCACCCAGTCTCAGGTGTCCTGTTACAGAAGCACACGGTGAATCAACACAGTGCCTTCCCTTTGAAGTGGCCAGTTAGTTGATAGGTCACATAAAGAAAATGCTGAATAAAAAAAATCATATATACTTTTAACAAGCCACACGTCCACCAGGCTTCTGAAGAGTTCTCCATTAAGTCCTATAAAACAGGCTTGATTGTTACAATATAGCTTTAAAATAGTTACATTGGAACTGGGATTGGAATGTAAAAAATAAATTTTTAAAAATGTAGTTATATCGGGGCATGTTGCCCATCACTCAAACAGGTTCAATTACCGGAGTTTATTTCTTACAAAAGTCATCTAACCTATCAGTTCTCAACCTGTGGGTCATGACCTCTGCGGTGGGAGTCAAATGACCCTTTCATAGGTGTCACCTAAGACTATTGGAAAGCACAGATATTTACGTTATAATTTCATAACATTAACAAATTTTCAGTTATGAAGTAGCAATGAAATGTTTTGTGGTTGGGGGTCAGCACAACATGAGGTTGTAGGGGTTGTAGGGGTGGCAAGTATTTGTTAAACGGCTATGTGGCAGGCATAGAGCTAGATGCTGGGAGAACAGAACTTTAAAATAACACCATGTTCTTGTTCTCACAGGGTTAAATAAGTAATAGAACACATAATTCATGCCCCAACTTGATGCTGTCTACCACGTAAGATGTGGCCAGAAAGCCCTCAGTGGAGCCTTGCAGGGTACCATGTTCTTAGCACTCCAAAACTGAACTAAATAAACCTGTTTTCTGTGTGAAGTACCAGCCTTGGGTATTGTTATAGGAGCAGAAAACAGACTAAGACACCAATGCTCCAATGAAGGTAATTTTTTTTTTTTTGCCAAGGTTTCTGTGTGTAACAGTCCTGGCTGTCCTAGAACTCACTCTGAAGAGAAAGCTGGCCTTGAACTCACAGCAATCCACCTGCCTCTGCTTCTTGAGTGCTGGGATTAAAGATATGTGCCACCACTGCTGGATGAAGGTAAACATTTTTTTGTCTTGTTTTTCTAGATAGGGTTTCTCTGTGTAGCTTTGGAGCCTATCCTGGCACTCGCTCTGTAGACCAGGCTGGCTGAAGGTAAACATTTTAAAGTTAAAAATCTCTCTAGTTAAATATAATACTTGTGATTGCTATGGTCTATAGCTACCTCGGGTTTTTAATAAATGGTAGGACTTAAATTTTTCAAAAGTTCTAAATACAAGGTTAGATATGTAGACTGAGGGAGATTAAATACTGGGATCCAAATCTACTATGTATTCTTTTAGGCCTTAAGAGTTTCCCACTGGGTGTATTTGTTATGTGTCCCAGGCTTGACCTTGGCAAATATTTTAGCAAACACATGCTGGAAAACTTGTTCCGGTGCCTTGAAATAACATAATAAAGGGTAAAGGGAGACTTTTTTGCTTTATCTTTAATCTGTGTAAGTATGTACACACATGTGTGTATGCATGTTGGCATGTGTTGCAGGCGCATTCATGGAGGCTGGAGATGGAGATAGGTATCTTCCGCAATTGTTCTTCACTTCCTTGAGGCACAAGATCACTCTCTCTCTCAGTTGAACTGAGAGCTCACTGAAATGGGCCAGTCTACCAAGACAGCTGGTTCCCAGGATTCTCTATGTTCCTAGAGCTGGAATTACCGTGGGCCATCACACCCACACAGCATTTAGGCGAGATTGAGGATCCAAATTCTGGTCCTTGGGCTTGCATGGCAAGTGCCTTATCCACTGAGCCATCTCCGCAGCTCCAATATTTCCAATAATAACTTTCAAACCTTGAACCTCTTTACGCTGCAGTTTGGTCAAAATGTACTCTGGGTATTCTTCCTAGGCGACAGACACCTACACTTCTTGGAAGGAATCAGGAACTTGTGTTAGAGAATGGTGTTCACGAGTTGTTCTCTGTAATTTACTTATGGCTCATCCTTCCTGCCTCATTTACACCTCCACATAAAACCTCCTTGTTCTAGCAAAACAGTCCCCCCCCCTTACCCTATAGCTTTTTAACCACACGGTCTTGGCTCCTAGTGACGCTGTTTCTTTGTCCATCCCCTGCATTCCAGTTTTTCCCTGTCTAAAATCTTCCCCAGGAGCAATACAGGTGAGTTTGCACCTGTGTCTTGAAGGCAAAGCCTCCTGGTTCTTCCTTCAGCACCCAGGACAGCACCCTGGTGCACCCTTCTGAACTTCATTATTGAGTTTTGATATCCCCAGGGAGGGTGGTGGTCACCATCATCCATCGTGTGATGCTCCACAGACTCCCAGATGAGCCATGCTACAGAGGAAATCATTTTTTCCATCTTTGAATCTTTGTTAAATGCAAAACCTGTTATCTCTTTTCAGCATGCTGCTAGAAAGATACTTTCTCATCTATGCCATAAAATGGAATTTTTACTTTTAACTTTTTTTTTTTTTTTTACTTATTTAAAGAAACATTCATTATGTTCTTTCAGGCAGAGTTCTCTTATGACAATCACTTCTAATCCTCTGCCACAAAAGACCTGCACAGGCTGTCTTTATGAAACTGAACAAAGTCCTGGCAGCTAAGCCCAGCTTAGACAAAGGCAGTGCCTCCCCTCACAGGCACTAAATAGCCTCTTTCCAAAAGAACACCACTTTAAACAAAACTCTCTGAAACTTAATTAACTATGAATAAAGCATCCAAGGCTGGGGGGGGGGGCTCTCGGGTGGTGGTGAACCTTGCCTAAATTATAGCACATGCTGAAAATTGTGGGTTAATTACGGTTAAGCCCATATGAAGTCAGAAATTGGTTAAATTAATGTAAGAGAGAAAAATAAAGTGAGTTTGGGGAAATTTGATTTCATAACAGATCTTACTGCCTGGAATTCTAATTTATGCTCATTTCGAATTTTTTACTAAATTAAGAATAGCAGCACAGAAGCATATCAACATAATTGCCCGAGTTTCTCAAAGGTGCTGTAATAAACATGCATTTTTCCCCCACGAAAAGCTTTAGAGGTATGCATCTTGAGTCTGAAATGTACATACATATAGAGCAAGAGAGAAAATGGTAAGTGTTTTGGTAAGTGTTTTGCAACTTAGTAAAATACATCAGGTGCTCACAGCAACTGACCACTAAGGAGATGGCTGGTGGGGGTGGACATCTGCTCACAAGCAAAGATGCTCTGCATAGAAGACCTGACCATCTGGTTCATGAAGCCTTGGGTGGGGGGGGGGGCAACAGTCATGGAAGAGAAAGAGGCTGCAGGGGAACTGGCTGGTGAGCCTGTATCCACACTGGTCTCTACCCTTCACACCCAGCAGTGCCATTCACAAAGGCAGCGGGAAAAGAAAGGCACCCTGGGGAAGTCTTTCCTCCAGGGATGGATTTAGCAACCAAAGCAATCAGTCAGGAATGCAGCACAGGGTGGAACCTCCTCAATCCTTTTTGCCACAACAGCAGCTCCAGGCCCTGCTGTGCTCTGACCACAAGCCTCTGCACTGCCCAGAATACCTGATTCCTAGGACTCAGGAAAGAGAGACAGTCTGCCACCATTGGCCACAGCATTTGTATGGACCAAAGCAGTCCTGTCCAGCCGATGTGTTTGCAAAGGGAAGAGGGCCACAGAAGCCCTCAGTAGTCTCCCTGGCACATGGAAACACGGAGCACTTCCCAAGCCACCTCCCTCCAGCAGCCTCCTTGGCAAGGCTGACACCCAGCATGCAGAGTCATCTTACCCGCATGCTGTGGCGCTTGAAGACATTGTGCCGGTGGAGAGGTGGGGTGTGCAGCGAGTTAACAGGAGATGGATACTCCATGGGGCTGGTAAGTGTAGGAGAGCTGGCACACAGACCCTCAGGGACCTATTCATGAGAAGCAAAGAAGCACAAGGCACAGGGACAAGGCAAGAGGGTAGACAATTAGCTGCTACGAACAAGAGCACAAAAAAAGGACGAATGTGCACCACGGGAATGCAGACTTGCTCTACTATGGCAGATAAAGAATGGGACATGCTATTTTCCTGGCTCTGATGAAGAGATGTGGCGGAGCAATGCGGCCTCTCATCTGCCAAACATTCCTCCTGCACAATGCTCTTCACATGGGAGTATGCTTACAGATAACTCATCTTCTGAGACCGGGGTAGGACCCCAGGACCCTTTGGAAAAGGGTTGGTTTCATAGTTGTGACATAGGCTATGATAACCTGCAGATAAGTGAATGTGTGTATGCACACACACAGTTAACCCGCAGTGTCCTAGGGATGTGTGGTTCCAGGAGGTACCCTAGATACGGAATCCCTTACATAAAATGCTGCAATATTTGTGTATCTAAGCTGTCCTCTGATGTATTGGAAGGCAGTCTGATCACTTATGATATTGAATACTATGTAAAGACTATGTAAGTGGCAAACTATATTGTTCAGGGAATAATGACCAAGAAAAATCTGTACCTATTTCATGCAGATATGGGCTTTGTTCTTTTCTTTTTTCTTTCTTTTTTCATATGTTTCATTATTGGTTGGTTGAAACCATAGGGTCAAAACTCAGAAGTGTGTGTGTGTGTGTGTGTGCCTTCTCTTTGTGTGTCTGGGGTATAATTATTTTGATTAAAAACTTACTGTGTATGCATATATGTTTGAATTAAATATGGAGGACCTGCATTGATGGCAGGAGTCATCCTTAATCACTATTCCACCTTATTCTCTGAGGCATGGTCTCTTGGTCAAAGCCAGAGCTTGTCTTGAAATCCTCCTGTTTGCACTGGGGATTCCTCATCTCTGCCTCCTAAGGCTGGAATTTCAGATAGGCGCCATGCTCAACTGTCAATTATGTGGGTTCTGAGGCTTCAAACTCCAATTCTCATGCTTTCACAGCAAGTGCTTTATCCACAAAGCCACCTCTCCAGTCTAACAATATATTATTTTAAATGCTTTTTAAAACTTAGTGTATGTGTGAGAGAGAGAGAGCCCATGAGTGTGTGTGAATGAGCTCACACTCACATGCATGCCATGTAATGATTGTGGCAGTCAGAGAACAATTTCTGGACATTGGTTTTTCTCCTCTCCTTCCAACATGTTGCTTCCAGGGATTGAACTCAGGTCATCAGGTTTGGCAATAAGTGCTTTTACCCTCAGAACCATCCCACCAGCTTACCCCTCTCTCTCTCCCTCTCTCTCTAACTCTCTCTCTCTCTCTCTCTCTCATTATTGTTACCTCCTACATTCTTGGTTGGGCTTGTTTTTGATTGTTTTTGACACAGGGATAGTATGTCTGGGAGGCTCCCTCTTCCTGTGTGGGGCATCAGCAGAGCTAACATTGGTACTTGTTCCTTGGGATGTTCTGCTTTGAAGCCACAACTCTGTGCTAGGGGATGTACAGGAAAGAAAGGCAGGAGGTGGGGCCATCTCTCATCCAGATACAAGAGAGTGACATAGGGCAAGGCTACATGAATCACAGGCTACAGCCTTGGGTAAAGTCAAGGCTGGCAATGATGGATGCAGACAGCTTAGATGGGCCCCTGCTCTCTTTCACTGGCCACCTAGGTCCTGTCCAGAGCCTCTGCATGGGACCTCAGGTGGCCCTCAAGCCTATTGGGCCATCATCCACCTCCAGCATCCTGGAATTCCTTCTCAGAAGGCTCTGTTCAGGGTAAGGGGTCAGGGAAGCCAGGGACACAGGAAGGCAGCTGCAGGCAGACACAGGAAGCAGCAGACACTGCAGATGGCTGGACTGGGCTGCAGGCAGAACTTCTGGAAGAACTGAATTTCTGTTCTTTTGATGACATATTTTGAAATTCTCTCTTGGCTACCAAGAAAGAGCCAAGCCAGGCATCTCCATCCTCTAGAAAGGTGTTTGCTGCTGCACCCCAAGGGTGTAGGCATGGCATTTCAGGAAGGACCTTGAAGATGGATGGAATCAAACCTCCCCACCATCCACTTGCACATTTACCTGGAACTGCAGTTTAGGAGCCAGCAGGTTGGTCTGTGGAGGGGGTCTGTACTTGGGCCGGCTGGGCTAGAAAGAGAACATGGGGCTGTGTCAGCCTGACTCTCCCCTTCAGCAAAAAGGACACACCAAAGGAAATTATCAGGTCAGAGCCAGTTCTGTTTGTTTACAACAGAGAGAGGGGAACAAAATTACCATTGGATTCATTTTGCAGCCATACATACTAGCTACACGGCTAGTGATGGGAAGGGATGAGAGCAGCAATTGCAAGAGACCAAGAAAGGGCCTTGAACCTGATTGGGTCTTGCTATGGATTTGTGCCTAGCCCCAACTACACTTGACTATATATTGGCACCCTGCCTCCCATGAGACAGTGTTATGAAGTGCTGTCTTTGAGAAAGGATTCGAGTTGGGTGACATCATCCCATGATGGAATTAGTACCCTGATGAGAATAGCATTAGAAACTAAGAGAGGCCTTCTCATTTTCTCTCATCTTCCCTGGCATGTGAGGACATGGCAAGAGGGAGGCCATCTGAGAGCTAGGAATGGGCCCTGTGACAGTGAATATTGATCATCATTTTGACAGGTCTAGAATCACCAAAGAGACATTACTCTGGGTACATCTTTGAGGGGGTTTGTAATGATAACTCTTCCTGACAGCTGCCTGTGTTCTGCAGCCGCTTTAGGGCCCCCAAATAACACACAGAGTCTTATATTAGTTACAATGCTGCTGGCCAATGACTAGGATTTCTTATTTGCTAGCTCAGTCTTAATCATCAACCATAACTACCAATCTATATATTTTTATAGGGACTTACCTTATCGAGGATGCCGGCCTTATGCATCCTGTCACCCTGGGATCACATGGAGACTCTCCCCCTTTTCCTACATTTCCCAGAATTCTCCTTCTCTCCTAGTCCTGCCTAACTTGCTTACCTATTGGCCAATAGTGCTTTATTTATCAACCAATAAGACAAACATATACACACAAGGGCCTCCCCCATCAGGGGTTTCTATATTAAATAAACTAAGAGAAGAGTCACTCTAGATGTCAAGACATCATTCTGTGGGCTGGAATTCTGGACCACATAAAAAGGCAAAGCTACCCCAGAAGCAGTGTTTGCCTCTCTGCATCCCGACCTCAGATGCCATGTGATCTCAGGCTGCCATCCCTTCCCTGCTGTGATGGACTCTACTCTCAGATGTACAATCCAGATAAGCCCTTCCTTCTTTAGATTGTTTTCACCAGGTGTTTCATCACAGTGATGAGGAAAAGAAGGACCACAGACCCCCCACCAGAGATGAAATTTGAGGTTTTCTGGGCTGTGAACTTCCAAGCTTCTGAGACTTTGAGGGCTGGATGTCTGTTTAAATCATTCATTCTGCCTGAGGTATTTTGTTTTGTCATCTCTAGATAACACAGCCCTGGTTTCTGGAAACCCAACCATGTGATGGTGGGGCATTAGGGTCCTAGATCCTGAGGCCAAGGCTGTCACTGCAGGCATGGACACAGAGCCTGAATCTCGGGGGCTCAGGACATTCTCCTTCCTTATAATGGACACCCTATCTGCCATCCCTAGAAGCACGCAGGCTTACACAGGGAACTCTAAAGGGCAGTTCTTGATCCAGCTTCCCCACGGGCTGTGTGCTGGCCCCAGATTTCTCTTGATGGGACACCTATGGATAATTGGGGGTTGGATCCAGAACTGAAAGTGGATTTTAGAAAAGCAAGCTCTTTGTGCTATGAGAGGGCAGTTGGGCCACAAAGGGACCTAGCTCTTCTGTGACCACAGGACTAATGAGGGCCAGGCTTGGCTTACCTTGGGTGGGGGTTCTTGAAAGGCAGTGGGCTCCAATATTTTCGGGGGTCTGTATCGAGCATTCCTTTCCTGCTCTATGGCGATGTCCTTTTCCATCTGATAAATATCACTGTCGAGGATTCAGGGCAGATGGAGAGAAACAGGTCAAAGGGGATACACTGATGCCAGCAGAGGTCTCAATGAGAGCCACCAGCTCCCACCTCTCTAGAACAGATTAAGATACGGATCTTGAGGCCACCCTTGCACCAAGATTTGAGAGAATCACACAAATGGACAATGGGTAGAAATCCTTAGAGAACCAGCCCAACAGGTGGCAGAAGCTGGCCATAGAGTGGCCTCCCCCATCTCCAGCCTTTCTGCACCAGCTATTGGCAACCAGCCATGTGTACATTTCCAGTGTCCCATCTAAGTTCATGACCTAGGCACAGATTCGTCATGACATTAGATACTCTCCTTGCCCCTCTGTAGAATGCTCGGGGGCTGCAGTGTACTCTCAGCTATAATGAGGTCAACTTTCTCTCCAAGTGCAGTACTCATTCCAGAGACCCTTGGAATTACTGCAGGGTCTTTGAATCCATATGTTCAAAGGAACACTAAGCATTACATATTGTCAAGTGCATACCATGGGGTATGTGCCTTCAAATTTACACACACACACACACACACACACACACACACACACACACACACTTGCTACATTATCTGAGATCATTAAGCAAGTTTCCCTAAGACAGAGGTCAGCAAATGAATGACCACAAGCTAAGCCTGCCCTCCTACCTATTCTTGAATGGTTTCAGATCAAGAATGGTCAATATGAGTTTTCACGATTGAATTTTTTAACTTATGGCACATAAAATTAATGCAAGTTTGGGCATATGCAGATGGAACTTTATCAAACACAGCCAACTTCGTCTTTTACCAGTGCTTTGGGCTGCAATGGTAGAGCCAAGCAGTTGCAACAGAGACTTGCAGAGACTGAAAAGTCCCAAATATTTACTATCTGGGTCCTTAACAGAAGTCTGCTGATCCCCACTATAAAGGAAACCAGGAGAAGTTGGACCATTCATGAGTTGTAGGCAGGAAGAGGGGAACCCTGAAGCCCTGAGATAGATAACATCCCCCCCACCAGCAGATGGGCACTGAGGAGGATCCAAGCCTCAGGCCACCGATCCCCAAACAGAACAGGCAGGTAACTCCTGGGGCATAGTCTTGATAACAGATCAAATGCATCCCCTTTTTTCCATAACTGGGAAGGACTACCGAATGGAGAGGGAGGGCAAGAAAGGTCATGGCTATTAGCCATCTGCTCCATGAGGGATCTGAATGAACAAGGCTTCCCCAGGCTGCCCTCATCTCTGAATTTGCATGTGACAGTGAACTTGGACTCAAGTTTCCGTCCTCCAACACTGTCTGGTACCTGTTATGCTTCTACTGGAAGGGAGGGCACCTGCCCTCTGGTGATCAGAAGGAAGTTCTAGTATAAGTCCCATTTTACCTGTCACTACTAGGGGTCAAGTCACCACCTTTAACCTGAACTCTCTGGTCTGACAAGGGGGAACAAGGACACCCACTGCACAGGTCTGGAGAACACAGTCACATGGAATGTTGAGGAGCAGAAAGCCTCATCTTCTACCCCTAGCTCTCCACGATGATATGCTTACCTGAGGCTGCACACAATCTCCGTGAAGCGGGGCCGGTCACTGGGGTCATAGTCCCAGCAGCGAGTCATGAGCGTGTAAAGGACAGGTGGACAGAGGTCGGGCTTGGGCAGCCTGTCCCCTTTCTCCAGCACCCCGATGACATCCTTGTTTTCAAGCCAGAAGAAAGGCTGCTTCCCAAAGCTGAGGATCTCCCACATGCACACAGCTGAGAGCAGATGGGGAAGGCTCAGGGGAGGGACCAACAGGGCCCTCCCCAGAGATAATGAAGGCCACTGGTGCTTGGTCCCAGATGGAGGAGGAGTGTTCTCCTCCGAGGTCTCGCCCACCGCAATGATCCACCCAAGACATCGATAGCCTATACTAACAGTACATGGACCATGGTCTACTCCCTAGAACTCTCCCCATGGAGCTACCAGAATTCTGGGGATGCAGAGGAGGGCATTATCTGGATTGCCAGAGCCTTCTCACGAGGGAGCCAAGCATCTCCAAATGGACTTATAACCTTAGTTCTGACACTTGTTGCCCATGTGATCTTGGGCAAACCTAGCCTAATCATCTGAGCCTTGATTTCCTCAGGTGAAAGACAGAAGGAACAGAGTTTCCCAGAAACAGCCGCAGGGCCAGTGGGTCATGTTCAGACTGTTGTGTCCGTCATACCCAGCCTGGCCCTCTCTCTCTTTGTCCCGCCTCATCAAAACTGGCCAGTTTTCTTCGAATATTCCTTGAAGTCTTTCCCACATAGTCCTTAGAGATGGCAGATGTAACACATATTTGTCCCAAGAGTCTTTATGAGGGAAATAAACCCAATTTGTTCCAACCAGGCTTTAGCCCACGTTGCCTCTGCTCTCCACTGACTCTCTACCTTTGAGACTTCTCAGTGCCCCTGGGACCTGAGGGCCACATGTGAGACCCTTGCTCCCTGTGCTGTCCTCCTATCCAGGTCACAGGCCTGAGAAGCATCACTTTTCTGGGTCCTGCCAAATCACCACTCACCGAACATCCAGACATCACTGGCGGTTGTGAAGCGACGGAAGTTGATGGACTCAGGGGACATCCATTTGATTGGGAGGCGCGTCACAGAGGCTTTGTGTGGACAAAAGGGTTTTCAGGAATTACTTAGGATGTAAGATCTGGAATTGCATTCCTACTCCCCTGAGACCACTAACCTAGGCTGCCTCAACTTCAGGCTTCCTTGCTCTGGGATTTTGAATTCTACAAATTGTCCTGGCAATTGGCAAGCCCTCACCTTTGTAATAGTCCTCGTCCTCAATGTACCGGGAGAGCCCAAAGTCGCCCAGCTTCACACACTCAGGAGAGGCCACCAGGATGTTCCGGACAGCAATATCCCTGCAAGAAGGATTGAAGACCAGCATGAGGCACTGCCTTAGGACCCAGGTACAAGTGAGAAGAACCAGGCATCAGCCTGAAGGAACATCCCAGCAGGTTTCTGAGAGGAAGAGATCATAACTCCTGAAACTCATAGGCATCATCTGGCTCTCCTTGAGGCGTGCCTGTTGGCATGGGCCACCTGCATCCTTAGTGTCACCACCAACCCCAAAGGGTCCACTTGGTTCTCACAGGCCATGCCACTTCCTACTGTCTCTGCTACTGAAAAGGCGGTTTTTAAGCACCCAGTTTCAGATAAATAAAGGAAACAACCCTATGAACATGCCTCCTTGGCCTGGGTCAAGTGCATCTCCCATTGGACCCTCACACTCTAGAATGTGAGCTTTCCAAAGAGAAGAATTCTTGTTTCTCTTGACCATGACTTTCTCCTACACTCTAGGACACAGGCTGGCACTGAGTTGGTGCTCCACAGGACTCATTGTATACACGAGGGAATGTTGGTTTGTATCTCCAGCATGGCTTTGCAGAGATTCAGGTCAAAGCTACACAGGCTATGTCAGTGGCACAGTGAGCACCCCAGTGTGGTCTCCTTGGTGCTCATGTTCTCAAGGGAAGGAGCACAAAGCCAGGTGGAGAGTGGGGAAGAGCCAACTACAGTCATAGTTAAAGCGGCTGAGGGGTCAGGGATATTGGGGAACTAGGATGGAGACTGGCAGACCCTACAATGTTCCAGACACTTCTCTGACCCACTTCCTTCTTCCTATACAGTTTATTACCCAGCGTGTGGAGCAGAGGAGATGGAACTCTGAGCAAGAGGGCTGCATACCCCCCAGCACTCACCGGAAGACACAAAGCTCCACTGAGATCTCAGACCTTGGATTTCCTCTCAATACCCTCAGGCATTTTAACTTTCTGAGTGAGGAAATGTTGCATCCGGACTACCCAGGTGCTGAGTGCTGTGTACTCTCAGCTGCCAGGCACAGACCATGTAGTCTCACACTGTTCCTACCTGTGCACACAGTTGATGCTCTCCAGATAGGCCATGGCTTTGCATATCTGTAGAGAGTACAGGACCAGAGTGGGTACCTTCAGGGAGTTTTTATTTCGCTCCAGGTAGTGGCCCAGCTGCAGAAAAAGAGACATGCCATCGGAATCACTCATTCTGTCCCAGCATGGCACCAAAGCACCAGGCTACCAGTAGCTACTGATCCCTTCTTTCCTTTGGTGGCAATATGTTTTGGCAATTTCCTCCACTGAACAGCTAAATACAGAAGGCAGGAAGCTGGAACGATCCCTGGCTATAATATGTCTCCCATGCTCAACTGTAGCCTGGTGGTTATTTGGGGTTCCTCATCTGGTCTCTGAGCTCACCTCCCCATAAGGATACAGTTCCATGATGATCCATGTGGGCTCCTCTTCAATGATGCCAATCAGCTTCACGATGTGGGGGTGGTCAAGATTCTTCATGATCACTGCGTGGGGGAAAGGGAGGTGGAGCGGGCCAAAGGTCATACAGAAGGTGTTTTACTTTTCTTTCCTCAGTGCTGAGGATCAAACAGGGACTCATGCATGCCAGGCAAGAGCTCTACCACCAAGCTTCTAACCCAACCCCAACCATTTAAGAGAAACAGAATTTTCTGCCCCAACCGTGAAATATGGGACAAGAGACCTCTTACAATCAGGAGTGGGGTTGGGTTCCCATTACTGTTCACACCGCCTCCTTCCCAGCCTCCCAGCCCCTCATCCTTGAGGGCTGGAGATGCTCAGGGGCCCCTCCCCAAGGGACGCCTACCTGCCTCGCTCATGAACTTCTCCTTGTTGTCCAGGGTACAGTCTTTCTTGCAGGTCTTGACGGCCACATTAATCGTTTCTCCTTTCTGCAATAGAAGCATATAGCATGGCCATCACAGACTTGGCTACCACCTTGGGGAGGCAAATGGGGTGGCCCTTCCATGGCAGCTCACCTCTGCCCTCCCACACCCCATTTTTTCTGTCTCTCTTCATGCTCCCCTCCTCTTTCCCTTCCTTCCAGGTCATTCTGTGTTAGAACTAGAAAGGGCTTCAGAGCCAGAAGGATCAACCCCTGTGTCCAGATGAGGATACATAGTCATGTGATCTGCCAAGGCAAGCAGGCATGAGACAGAACACACAGGGCCTCCTTCAGAAGAAAGCAGGGTCCCCTTCTCTGTCCTTACTGTTGGATTTCAACCACACTGCTCTCCTTGAGCTCTGCCTTCTCCAGCCTTCTCCAGCCTGAAGTACAACCATATAGGCAAGGTTTACCCAGGCTTCAGTGACCTGGACACCAAGTCCTGAGGATCCACTCGTGCCCCACTCTAACTGCATCTTACCCTACGACCCCTTCTGTGTTTCTACCCTGAGGATATTGTTCCCCAATCTTGGGGATGACTCTCATCCCTTTCACTCCCCAGGTACTCCAGAAGTAGTCCTGGGCCATGTGGGAGGACCCACTGTGTATCAGTCAACTGCTACCTCGTATCCAGCTCTCTCACCCTCCAGACAGACAGAAGAGAGATGCTAGGAAAGAGTCCGGGACTCACGTGATTCGTGTAGACCCCTTCGTAGACCTCCCCGAAGAAGCCTTCACCAAGAATACGATTAAGAACTACATCTTCACGGGCAACACCATACTGTGGACCTGCACAGAGAAAGAAAACGTGTGTGTGTGTGTGTGTGTGTGTGTGTGTGTGTGTCCCAGGTTCCTGAGTCCAGCTGGCCTCCCCAGGGAGAACCTGAGTATTCAACAGCAAAGATCCAAAGGCTTGGCTGGGAAATGGCATCTACATTGTTCCATTGTCTCAGATCCAGGACGATCTATCACCCTGCCCCCTGCACCCTGCTCCCCGGTCCCTAGGTCCTCATTCTTAAGGTCCTCACTGAGCTACACAGGCCCAAAGAAGGTCAATCTGTATAGAATCTCAGCTTTCAAACCAATGGTCCCTCGGTTTTCTCTGTCAGAGCACATGTGGATGAGGACAAAGGTTCCCCTGAGGTGTCCCAGGAGTCCACATGATGTCACTCCCTGAGGCCCTGATTGTGGGCACTGTGGTGGTGGCCTAATAGCCTATTCAAGAACCTACCTCCTGGCCTTCGCAGGGTCTCATCGGGAATCTCTGCATAGATGTCTGATTCTGTAACAATAGAAAGGGGCCCGGCCCAGGGGCCCAGGGTCTTTACTAGGCACAGCCAGGAATTAGGCCATGGCTCCCACCTAAAAGCCAGGACAGTCAAATGACTGGATGAGGACTGGGTCATGGAGAAGAGTCCAGGCTCCTGTACCAGGATTCAAGGAAGCCACATAGCTGAAGGCACTTCCGCATGCGTCCGGGTTTACTCTCTCAGTTTTGTTAGTTTCAAATGACACATTACCCATTTGACCTTACTATTAACTTGATGTTTTCATCTCTCCCAAATCTGACTACTGCAGTCCCACCCTACAGCATGATGACTGGTGTGGGCCTCCGGGAAGGTGTGAGCGTTAGGTGATGTCATGAAGCAGGGACTCCTAATATAACTTAGTGTTCTTAAAAATAGAGGAAGACATGCTAGAGCTTGCTCTCTTTCTACCAATGTGACCACATGGCAAGGAGGCAAACCCAGAAGAGAGCCCCCACCAGACAGACTCTGCAGAGACTGGACATGCCAGCCTCTAGAGCTGGGAGAAATAAATGACTGGTTTTGAGTCACTCAATCTGTTGTATTATGTTTGTGCCATGAAAGCTGACCAAGATCAACACAGTACCATGGTATAAACTATTCTGCTGGGTGGCAGTGGCACACACCTTTAATACTAGCACTCAAGAGGCAGAGGTGGGCAGATCTCTGAGTTTGAGGCCAGCCACTAATGGTATCTTTGAGCCATGATTGAGAATTGATAGGGAAGGTGGTTTACTGTGACGTGAAGAGAAGTCTTGGTAACACCAGGAGAGGAAGCAGAGATGGTGAGGAAGCATGAGGGAGAGGCAGAAGCCGAGATTACAGTGAGCATGCTTACCTATGCTACAGCTTTCTGAGAGGTGGGACCGTCGAGCCTCCAGGTTTCTGCAGGAGAAGGTAAGAGGGCAGGGGATGGCTGACCTCAGAGTCCTGCAACATTCCCCTCAGCCAGCCTCACTTTACCTCCATTCACCCACCCAGCACTGGCTGGATCTTGAAAATCAGCCAACAAATCTGTCAGTGGGATGGGAATGTAGCCTAGAACTCCAAAGGGCAAGAGTGGAAGGAAAGACAGAAGCCGATTTCTCAAGATGGCACCAGGTGGAACGGGGAATATTCCCATGTTTATGTACTGGGAAGGAACACGCCCCATACTGAAATGCTGAGTGAGACTCAGTCATTGTCTTGGGGACGACGAGGGATGTGGGGTGTCACTGCATGCTTTCCAGTCCTAGCCCATGGAGCCTGAGCTTAGGTCTCTACCCCGGCATCCCTCTCATACTCACAGTGTGGGGATCTGAGGCAGGCTGTTTCTTTTCTCACCATCTATGGGAAAACATAGAAAGGGAGGGTTAGAACAGGCCTGAATGGATGGCGGATGGGGCACTGTTTCTAAGGCTGTCTGCATCACAGTGGAAACTACTTGGGCTGTAACTAGAACCTTCCTTGTAAACTTCCTCCTGCCAATATCACATGCAGCAGCAGCCTTGCCTATTTCCTGACTGGTCCCCAATCAGGGTTACACAGAACAGAACAGTCAGAAGCTAGCAAAGGCTCTGATATGCCAGCGGATGCAAACACAGCTCCTCTAGGAGTTACTTCCAGGAGTTGACCACCTAGAATTGACTCCGCGCCTCCTCATAGTCCTAAAATCTTTGCTTCCACTTAAGGGCCAATGCCTGATCATCCTTCTGCCGTCCACCTCTGGGCTACTCTGTCTCCGAAGCGACACCTACCTTTCCTGGCATTCATGATGAGAGAGCCTTGATGTTCTCCCTGCAGCCGGCAGTAGCCGTCTATGAGGTCAGCCATGTTCTCAGCCTCTGCCAGGGACGAGGTTTTGATGGACAAGGACTGTAGAGAAGAGGTCAGCCACCGGTGAGAAAGCAGAGCCTCAGCTGGAGTCCATCCCACAGGAAGAGGAGGTTACAGGACCTGGCCCTACCTCTGTGGGATTCCTCCTACACTTTTCCGGAGTATTGTGTGTGTGTTTAGAAATAGCCTCCAGGGGGCACACTGGCCATCCCTCCAGCTGCCTACCCAGTGCTCTTTGTTGCAAGGCTAGGTCTGGGTCATGCTTATTTGGATCTCTGAGCAGACAGCACAATGCCTTGTGTTTTGTGAGTGCTCCGTGTGTATGGGCAGAAACTAAGAAGTGGAAAGTGTGTAGGACTGGGGCCTCAGCACAGTCTGGGAGAGACAAATGTTTGGTGGTCTGAGGTCTCTTCCATATTTCTAACTACAAAATAACCCCAGATCCCTTAGGTCTTGATTTCTAAACCATTGCTTATTTGCTAAATGTTAGATTTCTGCTATGTTCCTTATTTTCAGCCACCTTTCCCTACTCTAAAGCCGTTTCTACTTCTTTCCTGATAATAAAGAAATACTTCTCATATTTCCTTAAGTTTTGTCATTATCACAGCCCCTTGTTTACCTGCTGGATAGAGTTTTAGTTTGGTGGAGAAGACAGGACTCAAAGTTGTCACTGTGTGAATGTGGAGGTTAGAGGACAATTCACATAAGTCATTTCTCTCTTTCAACCACATGGGCTGGGGCTGGGGCTGGGGTACTGAACTTAGATCACTGGGCTGGGTGGTAGGTGTCTTTATCTTGCCAGTCATGGGTACAGTTTTCTTAACAAGATCAATCAATAGAGAATCCCTAGTTCATGCTGGATTTGAACAGGCTGGATTGACTAAATCTCCCCCACAGAGCTCTCAGGTCCCCCAGAGATGCTCACCTGGGGGGCGCCCTCGATGCCCAGCTGCAAGACTGCCTGGCCCTCTTCCAATGGGAGGCACCGAATGGACTTGATTTGCTTGAACTCAGCCAGGCAGGTAGGCTATGAAAGAGACAGAGAGAACTGAAGACTATTCAACCCCAGGATCTGACCAAGGAAACCGATCAAGCTGAGGGTGAGGATGAAGATGGAGAGAATAAGGCTGGAAGGTCCATTTCAGAAGTCCAAGGTGCTCACATGGCAGAAGAAGAAGGGAGGAAGGTCTTCTTGTCAAGATCATATGTCCAGTTGGCTGAAGTTGAACTGAACCCAGATTCCCAGGGAGTCCTTATGCACCACAAGAACAGCAACACTCCTCATCCTACTTTGTGCAGCAGCAGCATGGCCAATAACGAAACACCTGACACATGCTGCTGTCTCCAGATCCTCTCAACAAGGATCCTCTACACCAAGGGAGGATGGTAGATGTGTTAGACCAAATGGGGACGGGGATAGACATATGGAAAAGCAGGGTTATGACTAAAATGGTGTATGCAAGATAACGCAGGTATATGGAATTACATTAACTTATAGTATTGATGAAAATACATGTTGTAGATAATTTATGTGGATTTTACATAAGATGTCTTATTACATTAATTAAGTATTACATGCTTATATGCTAGGGGAATATAATGTAATGCACGATATACATTAATGTATTATGGACTAGATAAATTTATGTACTAGAAGTTGATGTACAAGAAGTAGTTTAATAAGAATTTCAGCTTTGGGTGCTGACGGTGGGGGTTAAGCCTTCCTTCTTGACATTGTCCTAAGAAGATTTAATCTTCATTTTTGGTTTACAAGACCAATGTAATTTTTATACTATTAGGACATTAAGTGAATTTTAATACGCTATCTTCAATTATACTAGCGATTGGTATAAAAATAACGATGATAGAAAAATATGCAACGGAAGCAATTTGTCCAATAATAATAAATGGGTATTCTACTGGTTGACCTCCGATTCATGTAAGGAGTAGTAAGTCTGCTACTAATAATCAGTATATAGTTTGTGTGATAGGTCGGAAAATTATAGTTCGAAGTTTAGATGTATGTAGCAGTGGTAAGGTGGCTAGGATAAGGATGGAAAGAATTAGGGCTAGAACTCCTCCTAGTTTATTGGGGATAGATCGTAGGATAGCGTAGGCGAACAGGAAATATCACTCTGGTTTAATGTGTGCGGGAGTATTAAGTGGATTTGCAGGAGTGTAATTATCAGGGTCTCCTAAAATATCTGGGAAAAACAATACTAAAATTATGAGAGCAATTAATAGTATGAAGGCTCCTAGTAGGTCTTTAATCGTATAATAGGGGTGAAATGGAATTTTATCTGCGTCAGAATTTAGGACTGTTGGATTATTAGAGCCAGTTTCATGTAGGAATAGCAGGTGAACTATTGCTAGGGCAGCGATAATGAATGGTAGGATAAAATGGAATGCGAAGAAGCGGGTTAGTGTGGCTTTGTCTACAGAGAAGCCTCCTCAGATTCATTCTACCAGGGTGGTGCCTATATAAGGGATAGCTGATAAAAGGTTAGTGATAACTGTAGCTCCTCAGAATGATATTTGACCTCATGGTAATACATAACCTATAAATGCTGTTGCTATTACTGTAAATAGTAGGACAATACCTACATTCCAAGTTTCTACTATAGTGTATGAACCATAATAAACCCCTCGTCCTACATGAAGGAATAGGCAGATAAAGAATATTGAAGCTCCGTTAGCGTGTAGATAGCGGATTAGTCAGCCGTAATTAACATCTCGGCAGATATGGGTTACTGATGAAAATGCTGTAGTTGTATCTGATGTGTAATGTATAGCTAGGAATAATCCTGTTAGAATTTGGGTAATCAGACAAAGACCGATCAATGATCCGAAATTTCATCATGATGAAATGTTTGATGGGGCTGGTAAGTCCCATGGCCTTACAGAGTCTTTGCCCTGAGCAATGGGGAATGGAGGAGAAGAGCGGATGGGGAGACTGAAGAGGAGGCGGGGAAGAGGGAAGGATCTCTGAGCTAGAGCTAGCTGAGCCTGGCTCTTGGGCTTTCTTTACCTTTGTATCTTGACTTGTCAGCTGACGGATGCCTTTAGGGCCAATGACCAGGTCCACAGTAATGTTCCATCCTTGCTGGATAAAAGAAAAGGGGTCTGTTTCCATGCTGCCCACTCCTACCCAGAAATGTTAAGACAATCTCATGAAGGTAGACTCACACCGCCATCTCTCCAGCTTCTCTGTCTTAAACCCCACTATGCAGCTCACCTCTTACCTCTTACTTCTCTCTCCCTGCCCACCCTCCTCTTTTCCCATTAGCCCCCTGGAGTCCCATCCCAGAGGCCTGGAGGTCAGGTAGGGTGAGGTTAATAAGAAGAGGCCATTACAATGAGTTCGCAGCGATAGGTCTCTTGGTCGATGTTGGCAAAGCCTGCCAGGGTATTGAAGAACTTCATGACACACTCTTCCTCTCGGAGCGACGCATACTGCTGGAAGGTCTGCTGGATCATCTTCCGGAACTGCTTAGGCTGGAAGGGGGTTGGGAAGTGCTGAGTCAGTTCAGGTTCCTGCCTTAGGTCTTGGAGAGGCTGTCCACTGCTACAACATGGCTCCCAGGATCCCCACCGTGACAGAAGCCCAGATGTGTTCCCTAAAGCTCACAACTGTCTCCATGGAAGCCCACCCTAACCTTGGGGGGGAAGGCAGGAGACATGGAATCTCATGACCCAGGTCATGAAATAAATCAAGTCTCCAAGGCAGTCTTGAGCCAGGTGCATCCCATCCTGATTACCAGGCCTGGAGGGCCGACCACAGGCATTGACTTCTTATGTCAGGTAGCCTAAGGCTGTAGAGTCTCTTCTCCCGTCCCTCTGGCTCTCATCCCAGGACTCCAATGGAGAAGGACTCTCTGGTCTCCTTGCCCCCTGCTTCCCTCACCTTTAAGTTTTCCTGCATCTGCTTTGGGAAAAACAGGTCCAAACCCACTTCTTTTCTGAAAGAACAAAAAACAGAAGCCCCATTTGACACACATTTTTGACAAACCAAAAGGAGGTGAGAAGGCTTGGAGACCAGGGAACTGGGCCCTAGGGCTCTGGGCTGGGGAGATGGACAGGTGAACAGGACAGCCGGACACTGGGGAAGGGAAGGAGTGGGTGGGGAGCTATGTCTGACATAAAACTTACTCCAGGAGTTCAAAGTTGGACTTTTTGTCCAATGCATTGTGAGGCATGTCCTTGAAGAATCTCCTGGGGAGAGAGACAGAGAGACGGCATAGAGAAAAAGGGCCGACAGCTGGAGGGTGAAGCCCTCAGAGTAGGGCATCCAATGTCCATGTGTTGGCCTCCAAGCACCTTTCTCTAGCAGATGGAGGGACCATGATGGGTGGTGAAAGATTCCAAGAGCAATAAAATCAGATATTTCTGAAACTGTGAGGAAAGATGAAGCCCATGGACTTCATTCCTCAGAGACTCTAGTCTTGTGCTTTGGGGCTCTAGCCCTTGCGTTTCACCATTGTATAACCAAGTGGGAAAATAGTTCTATCAGCATCAGTAAACACAAACAACCCTTGAGAGGTAATGGCACTTGCCACCAAGCCTGAGGACCTGTGTGTGATCCCCGGGACACACAGGATCGAAGGAGACAGCTGACTCCCATACCTTGACCTCTTGTATCCTACCCCCACACACGCATATGTGTATATAAAATGTCTAAAACCAAATAATCTAGGGCAGCTAGACCTTATGCTTTCAGCCCAGGGACATCATCTCCCAATGTGGGTACATATGTTTGCATTTCCATCTAGATAATTACTGTAGTACATATAAAACTTTAGAAGTCACAGAAGAAAATAAAAACTAATAATCCTACCAGATAATATATACATTTTCTATCTGTAAGCCATGCACCTATATAGTATATATATGGCTATATATACTATGTGTTATGACTATATAAAGAAACAAGAACTACACTATAAACAATAATGTGGAGTATAATAGTATAAATTATATTAATAGCTTATTTGTAGCAATTATGGTTTTAATATGAGGTGAAATAGACAATGCCCCCAGGTATACCAGAGTTCCTACCCTGTCGAGGCCACTGTGACTAGTAACGTATCATCAGCTATTGTAGACATTGTCCTACTCTTGATCTTACATTATAGTCACTTGGGGTCCCTTTAATGCAGGTGGTCACAGATAGCTGGAGATACTTCTGCACTAACACTGCAAGCAGCCAGGTGGGACTCAGGGTTCTGAAACAGTGAACCTAGCTAACTGGAACACAGAAATGCTCTAGCTTCACACCATTTATCTAGGATATTTATTTTAAGATTTGTGTTTCTGTGTGTGCTAGCACATGGGTGCATGCACATTGCTGCCTGTGGAGACCAAAAGAGGGTGCCAGATCCCTTGCAGCGAGAGTTCCAGGTCTTTGTGAGGGGCTCAGTGTGGACACAGAGAGCTGGATTTCAGTTTTTTGATAGAACAGTAAGCACTCTTAACTCCTGAGAAGTCTCTCCAGATCCTACAGTGTTTCTTCTTGGTGGGTTAAAAGATAAATATAAGTAAGTCTGTTTAAGAACTAAGGATCCCAAGGAAGTATTGCCATACTCTGGGTAAAGGAAAACAACTACACCACGAATGACAGAAGAAACACGCCCCGCCCCCAACATCCAATATGGACTGCCCCATCCTTAACAGTTTTTAAGACTCAGTAGCTTTGAATATGATCTCAAATAAACTATATAGCAATAGCAATGTTTGCATCTTGATAAATATTAATTTTACTTTTAGAAAACCAAATGCATTGGAAAACTGAATAGAATTGCCTATTGACGAGGACATCCCTGGTTAAGTGAATTTCAGGCACTTTTAGGGATTTTTCTTTTTCTTTACTTTTCCAGCATGTTTTCAGCTTTCCATATTAATTAGTATTACTTCTTTACATGAAAAAATTAAGGCAATGAGTGTCATGAGACCAAGGTCATGGTCTTTAGAGGAAGTCTATCTACTGTTAGATATGTACTTAATGACTGCCTTATTCTTTCCTCATAGTCATCCCCTGGGGCTATGAAGACTAGAGTCAACTTCTTCCTTGGATGTCATACATATGAAGGAAAAGTTCTTAGGTGAATTTCACTGAGCAGTCGTTTATATAAGTTCCCCTCCTATCCACCCACACTCCACCCCACACACATCAGACTGTTATCTGCTTTTGTTTTCATTGTCTGACATAGAAGAAAAGAGACACCAAGTAAGAAAGAGTGAGGAGAATGGGCCCATAGTAAGAAAGGCACGGTATGACAGGAGACTCCACACTGAATGCATTTAAGATGTGACAGGGTGGAATGGAGTGGGGCAGAAAATTAAAGATCTCTTATTTCAGTTTTCTTATTCAATCAAGTGTTAGGAATAAAGCCCGAGGGGAACCTTGGTGGATTCCATGGTAGGTGAGGGGGGTGGGTTAACTGGGGGGATCGGGGGAGAGGGAACGCGGGACACACACAAACCTGCCAGACAGACAGAGCTTAACTGAGAAGTTTTATTAGAAAGGGAAAGGGGGAGGGGGAAGGAAAGAGAAAAAGAGGTAAAGAGACACAGAGACAGAGAGAGGACAGAAGAGAAGATGGAGACAGGAAAAGGCCTGTCTGCCCCAGGAGAACAGCAGGAAAGAGAGGGAAAGAGAGTGTAAGTGGGAAGGGCTCTCTTTTAAAGGGGTCCTTTGCACCTGCATGTAGACTACATACTCATGGAACCCTGGGCTGACCAGAGTATTGCCTGAGTGCATCCTGCCAGGTGACAGGGCAGGCCGGCACAATGCCTGGATCCTTACATCAACAAGGGGCACACGTGACTGAGTCTCTGTAGCTGTGCTGTATATGTTTAATTTACTAAACACATTCTTAGTGTAGGGACTTGCACGGGCCTAAGTATCCTCAGAGGGGGCAACTTGACACTACATCCCACAGTCTAAAACACTTACCTATATCTGGAGGTGTTTCGGTTGCTCCACACAGTGCTGGCAGCATCTAGAGATATGGACTACAGCGTGTACGCATGAAGACCTCGTAATTACAAGAAATTACCCAGCCCTAAATGTCCCTAAATGAGGAGAGAACTTAGGAAATGAGGAGCCATGGCTCTTCCCCTCCCCCACTTCTCTCTATTGGGTTTGGATAGAGCAGTGCCTGAGAAGAGGGTGAGCTTGGAAGTCACAGGATGACGGGAAAGCCGGAGTTTCAACTATGAGATATAAGGGGTCTGTCCAGGATTCCTCCACCATCCACTCAAAGGTTCCTGTCATTAAGTTCTCCAAGGTCAATCATGGCAGCTTTAAAAGTTTCCCAAGCTAGTGCTACCTGCTTCCCATCATATTCCTAGAAAACCTCAGAGCAAGCCCTCACCGGAAGTGGGACTGAGTGAGCTACATGTGACCTGGGTAAGGCACACACTGGCTTGCTTCATGCAGCTGTGTTCTAACAGTACGAATACTGATTGCCAAGAAACCCCAAAAGAGAATTTTAGTTCTGAGTTACCAAGTGTGGTGGTTTGAATGAGAACGGCTCCCTTAGGCTCATGTGTTTGAATACTTGGTCCCCAGTTGGTGGAACTGTTTGGGAAGGACTGAGAGGCATGATTTTGTTGGAGAAAGTGTGTCACTGGGTACAGGTTTTGAGGTTTCAAAAGACTCTCAACATTCCCAATGTTCTCTCTGCCTTGTGATTGTGGATCAAAATTTGAGCTATCAGCTGTTTTTCCATTCTACCATCATGGATTTAACTGTAAGCCTCCTGAAACTGTAAGCCCAAATGAAATGCTCTCTTCTATACATTGTCTTGATCATGGTGTTTCATCACAGAAATACAAAACAAACAAACAAACAAAAAAAAAAAAACCACGTCGTTATGGCAGGCCCAACTATGCTGTGTTTTGGAGGAATGTGGAAGACTTTAGGACTTCAAACTAGGAAAGAAACTGAATGCTTTAAGTGAAGTCATCCTACTAGGAGCTTGGAAGACAATAGTGCTGAGAGCAATGTGGACTGTTTCATAGGAACAATGTTGGTGATGTGGCTAGAGGCCATTCTTGTGATATATTAACAAAAAAAAAAAAATGAGGCTGCTTTCTTCCCTTGTCCCAGGAATCTGCCTGAGGTTAAATTAAGAAGTATTGGATTAATTTCCTTAGTAGAGGAGATTTCAAGACAGCCTTATATTGACTCTATCACATGGTTATTAGTAAGCATTCTCACGCAGGTCTACGGTGAAAAGGAGCAAGCAAGGCAAAAAGAAATATCCAATACACAGTTTGAAGAGAAAAAAAGAGGACCAGGAAATTTAATGTTGGAGCCAAGGCTAGTACTGAAAGAGATACGGAGAGGCCTGGCATGAAATAGAATAAAGAGAGGATGCTGTCCAGCAAGACCCCACGCTGCTCAGCTTCCAACTCATAAAAAGGAAAGGTCTGAGGAATTTTCTGCTGCTAAAAAGCAACAACAAAGGAAATCTTTTTTGCAAGTGTGATTCAAGGGGGTCAGGCTCTAGCCATGTGGGAAGTTGAACTTGGAAGTGCTGTCTACATAGTCCTGAATTCAGGGGCAAGAAGGATACATGAGTAAAGAGACTGTGGAATCTTCCTCCATGGCTAAAGAAAGACACTGACGTTGGGTCTGTAGCACAGGCATCCTTCATGGAGGCACTGAGAAGCCACTGCATGAAGCTATGAAAGTAAAGCCTGGATTGCTCTGGAGAACCCAACACACTGGAGATTTGAGAGCCATGAGGATCTGTCAGGGAGAGTGGCATATAGGGAGTGGAAACATCCCAAGATAGTCAGCAAATCTGGAGGGGTGGAGCCATCTAAGCCCTCTGACACTGGACATGGAGTGACAAGATTTGGAGTTTTCCCTGCTAGTTTTCAGTCTAGGATTTCCTCTCTGCTCCCCCCTTTCCTCCCTTTTGGAATGGTGATGTATAGTCAGCTCCATTATATGTGAGATGTATGTAGTTTGCTTTTTTAATTTTATATGTGGTTACAGTTAAGAGATTGCCTTGAGTCTCAGAAGACTCTGCATTTTTTAACTGTGTTGAGACTGTGACAGATTATGGGGACTTTTGAAGTTGGACTAAATGCATTTTGCACTGTGATTTGACCACAAGCCTATGGGGATCAGGGAGAGGAATGTGTTTATTTTTATTTTTATTTTTATTTTTTATGAAAATGATCCCCATAGGCTCATATGT